ATGGTCTCTGCCATCGTTCAGCTGCTTTGGGCTATGGGGTTTGGGGGCTGACAGCGGAGATGGGGCAGGAAGAAGCATCAATGTTTGCCTGGTATTAGGGACCCACTTAAGCCTTTGTCCCAAAGCCAGCACAGACCATGCTTCTGAAGAGAATAGGGCTTTAGTACTTATAACTCCCCTCTTCGCCCCAAAGAGGCAAACCTTCATGCCTTTTTTCCAGACAGGTGGGAATGACAAAGAAGTGAAGGGGAGAATAAGCAGGGGTTAAAGAAGAAGATTTGAGACTATATAAGGTCTTTCCTGCCATCGCAGGCTCTTTCTGCACAGCATTGCTACAGGTCAGACATGGTCAGTAGCTATTCCTGAGACTATTTTCGACCAGAGAACACCTGGAGTGTGTGGATGGATCTTTGTTGCAGGTATAAATTCAGATACATAACCCCACTGCGGTGGCTGAATTCTTACTTGATGACGGTCTCTCCGTGTGGCAGTTGAGGACCCAATGGAAACGGGCCGCTTTTCATGGAGAGGAAAACCCCCTACATACGAGCCCTGTGCTCAGCACTGTTGTGGCCCTACGGACATTTGTGGGGTGCAGATCCCCACTGCACCCCAGACCCCACGCTCTGTAGCAGCTGCTCAGCCTTGCAAAGTCACTGGCTTTTCCTTCCAATTTAAATCAGCGAGGGGAGGATCACAGGGCTTGGGGATGGGGCCGGTCTCTGCAGAGAGAAAAGGACCTTCTGATGGTGATATGTTACGATAAAGCTGGCAATGACTCATCTGCTCCATTCGGTGCAGGATTGATGCAGCTTTCATCTGCGCACGCAGGAGACCGATGAATAGACGTATTTGCCAATTTTTGGGGGGGGTTGAGGCAGAAAAGGTGCCCTTCAAGGAGCCAGGGAAAGCTGCTCCTTGCGTTCCAGCCCTGGTGCTTTGGCTGGGGCCAGCTTGTTGCACCGGTGAGTCTGGCTGCACTGACCTTGAGAGCTGCAACAACCAGAAGCATCCCAGGAGGGCTGTGGTGTTCGTGTGCAGTTTCTTGCAGCAGCAAGAATTTGGAGGGTTTTTCTTTTCCTTTTTCACTGGTTTCATGATCTCTGTTCCCTCTTCCCATCCTGGAAAGACCTGGTTAGCTGCTGGCAAGTGAAAACCTCCCTGAAAAATGGCACAGATTGTTAAACAAAGAAATAGCATCGGGGGGGGGAGTGGGGGGTGGGGGGGGGAGTGGGAGGGAACGAGGGCATGAAGCATCTTTCTCACAAAACCTTATTCTCAAGTGCTGCTGCCTGTGTGGGAGGCAGAGAGGGAGCTGGAAGGGGGAGGAATGGGTAGACAAGCAGAGACAGCAACAGAGGAGAGAGAAGGGAGGAATAAATAGATGTGAGGAGTTACAAAGAAGAAAGCAAAGGTGGAGAAACAGGTCATTAGGGAAAAACTTTGTGTGATGGAATGAGGGAGGAGGAGAAGGCTGGGGAAAAAACCCTCAAACCTGTATGTGGAGGCTTAGTTTTTGAAAACGAGGGAAGTAGTTTTCAGTCTGGGACACAGAGGTGCTTAAAGATGAGTATGTGTTCATGGCCTTGAAAGCACAGGACTGGAAAGGGGAAGGAGAGTGAAAGGAAAGAAGGGATGATACCTGCGGTAGAGAGTCTGCTTGGGAGGTAGTGAATAACGTATAGAAGAGAGTTAAATGCTATGATGGAAGTGGATGTGCTGCTGAGTACCCTGGGTGAGGAGGAGGAGGAGGGCAGCACCGATGGCTGCAAGGCAGCAGGATGCTAAGCCAGGCAGTGTCTCTGGTAGTTGTGCTGGAGCTCCTCAGCTCAGCCAAGCCAGAGGGTCTGGAGAGACACTGGGCAATTCTGTGGCTGGTTCCAGTGATGGAAAACCACTGACAGAAAGCCCTTTCATGTGGACACTTAAAAGCTGCTGATATTGATTTATGGCTGAGTTTCATTTCTACATCTTTTAAAACCTTTTCTAATCTGCATGAAGGGCTTGCGTTTCTTTTAGTGGAAGCTCACTTACAAATCAAGAAGTTCTTTTAATGAGCTGCTCGTAGCAGTGCAGGGCATGGCCGTGGCACAAGGCTCCACGGCACAGCGTAGGCTCTGAGCAAAACCAGCGTTCCTGCTTCTGGGAATCTGGAAACCAGATCTGGTCAACGAGGGGTGTGAATAAACTGTGAGGTACTTGGGCTGTGCAGAGTCCCCGTTTCTCAGCAGAGAGGCCAGTTTGCCCCCTCTGTGAATTAACCCTACCATCTCTGTAGGCTGCACATAGCTTTGCTAGGGAAAGCAGCAGAAGTTTAATGCTCGGTTCATATAGTGTGACCACACAAATACTAGAGTGAGTAGCCCAGCTAATTGATATCAAAGCGACTAAGCAGGTAATTTAATATTTATGAGATTATTAATCTGACTCTCCCTGCTTTAACCTCTATGCCCACTTCAGTCTTGGGTTCTACTTACTATTTCTTTGTGTCGTTGTTGTAGCAGATGTAAAATGAGGATAAATTGTTCCCAAGCCAGAATAGCAGAGTCCTGTGGATGCAGCCCTGGATCCACATAGGGTTTCTACTGAGCAGAGCAATATGAATGCTCTTTAGAGGCACTAGGAAGAAAAAGGCGAGGCAGGTGGTATCTACAAAAATGGTACAAAATGATTAAGGAGAGGAAAATATTCTTGTTCTTTTCCAGGACCGTATGTTTATCTACTAAGTCCTGAGCCACAGAGAAGGCCTTAAGCTTGGTGAGCATCCGAGATTGTGTTTGTGTGGCACAAGATGCCCAAGTGTATGATGCATCTTCAGTGACACATGAGGGGAGAGTGGTGGTGGTTTGGGTTTCCAAAATGGTTTAATGTCACAGACTGAAGAAATGTAAGTATTGTTTGGCTGCAGTCATGGAGGCTGTGCTTTTTCACACCCAAAGTAGTTCTGGCCCTTGTACAGCTGCTAGGGAAATTTGATTGCTGATTTTTAAACAAGTGAAGGGCTGGCTTGATTTTTTTTAATTCCATGTGAAGAGCTTGGAGTTAGACTGAACTGAAAATCTAAGGGAAGAGTAGCAAGCATCCTGCTTAATGCTGGCTATGAAACCCTGCAGACAGATTACCTGCCTCTCGTCTTTCAATGTTTTATTTCAAAACTGGCCAGCTTGGCTCATCTAGTGCTTTTTGGAGACTTCATCTCAGCAGATACTACCCAGCTAAAATTCATCCTCTCTAAGGAAGGTGTCAGGTAGGGCTGTGGAGAGCCTTCTGGAGGTGCCTGTCCCATCTTGATGTTACAGGAAGAGCTGGGACTGCACTCCTAGGCTAAGTGCCAACCTTCCAGACAGCCTTCTTGGTATACAGCATGCTGGTATCACAGTCACCATGCCTGGTGCAGCATGAGAGCTATGGACTGCCATAATTTTGCTGCTGCAGTTCCCTCAGTCAACTCCAGTTGACTGGTATTGGATAAAATAGCGGCTATCAAGCAATGGCTTACAAGGGAGAGCAGGAGAGGCGGGAATTTCTATCTTAGACCAAGCTGTAAGATGTTGCCCAGCTTTGCTCTGGACCCAAACATAGCATTTCTGTGAGCAGGTTTCCTCCAGGCCAGTGTTTCTGCCTAGATGGAGATTAAAACACCACATTTGTTAGCCTGTTTCCCAAAAGAGTCAGCAGCACAGACTATTGCAACCCTGGGACCTTTTTCCTGTCTGTCATTAAAAGAATGATCTGCACTCTGAGCTGCTTTGGAAGAAACATCTATCTGTAGAGGTTCTTGAGGAGCCTCTTTATTTCTAAATCCAGACAGCTAATAAGCTCATATTTCACTTAGCAGGCAGAAAGCTCTCGGCAGGCTCCTGGCAGCGCTGAAGGTCAGCAGGGAGGTAATGAAGCAGGCGACGCAGATCTGACCGCTGCCTCCTGTTTACTCATTATTTCCCCAGCTCAGAGTTGACACGGTGCTGCATCGTCGAGGCCTGGTGGCAAGCTGCCCAGCGGCCGTCTCCTCTCCTCCCGTTGTGCAGAGGTGTAGCCATGGGAGCTGCATCTCCCGGCTGACCCTGCCTAGATTGCTGCCTAGCGAGGCTTGCTGGGGTGATGCTTCTCTTGTGCTTTTATAACCTATTGAAGCCCGCTTTGCCTGTACGCTGAATTCTCTGGGTGCAGCCACGCTGTTCACTGCTTTCATCAGTTCCCTGGGGAAAATGGCTCCAGCTAATCACCTGCAGTAAGTACATCTCATGTCCTGCTTGGCTCTGTAGGCAAGCCCAGCTAACCACTGCAAGGAGGAGACAGGAGTGAGATCTCAATCGCTGTGAGATCCAGCTTTACAGTGAATTCATGCAGCTGCACTGGAGTCAATACACTGGTTTGCACCAGCTGAGGATCTGGCACTTGCCTTATTTTGCTGTGGCTCCACCAGAAATGCTGAGAGCAGTAATCCTTGTAGCCCTGATACCTGTGATGACTGAGGAACTAATCCTGTTTTTTCTGTAGTACCCATCTGGATGGAGGGCATTACATGAGATCGCATATTAACCGCTTCCTAAACTTAACTTGGGATAATGCTGTAAAAAGGATAGAAAGCGAGATGCATGCAGGGAGGAACTACTGATCTGCTTTCCTATCGAACAAAAAGTTCCCTACCCAGGAGGAAGGGATCTGTAGTGAGCAAACAAAAAGTAAGATTTATTTGGTCGGACACGAGTGTATCTTGTCACTGACAAACCGGCATCACATACATGGCCAGGATGGACTTGTATTGATTTACACACGGAGCCTGGTTGTGGCAGCCATCGGTGACAGTCAGACTGACTTGTTTGTTCTTGCAGGTAGAAGCACTGTAGTAGATACTTCGACTATAGTTCACAGTTCCTAAAGAAAGAGCCAACAGTTTTCCAGTTTGTCTTCTGTCCTCCTCTGTTGCCTCCAGGTAGAATGGCACTGGCTTGATCTGTCCTTTCACTCACCTCTCATTGCTCTGCTTCTTCTTCTAGGTGCCATATCATGTCCAGATAGGACACTGCTGGTGTGACAATCATCCCAAGACAGCTGCTCCCAGGGGTTGAGCTCAGGCGGCTCCTCTTTCTCCGGCAGCCAGGCAAAGGAGAAGAGCTGGGATATCCCTGTGCACGTGGTGTCCAGTCTCTACCCACAGCACTTGTAGGGATGGATTCCAAAGGCAACGTCCGAAGTGGAAACAAACCCGACGCCAAGGCCCCCAGCTCCACAAAGCCAGAAAAACCCAACCCTGGGCCTGCCACGAATGCAGACAAGAAGGAGATCCCCAAAGAGCAGCCTGCTCCTGCCACTGCCACCTCTGCCACCAAGAAGGCAGGTGGTGATGCTGCCGTTGTGAACAACCACAGCAACCTGAAACCCAACCCCGCCGCCACGGAGACACAAGAGGCCACTGGCCAGTCCCCTGACTCTGACCACAAGGGAAACAGCTCCGACGAGTCACCAGGCAGCATCTTTGACAACATGAAGCCCTTGATCATCATCGGAGGAGTGGCGGTGGCTGCGCTCGCTGTGATTGTGGGAGTGGCATTCCTAGCCCGGAAAAAATGAAGACCGAGATGGGGTGGGGATGAGAAACCCAACCCAGCTGTACAGCTCCTTTTGAGACAAATGCATGCAGAAAAATTCTATACATATCTATATATATAGAGAGAGCGAGCTAGATAGGTCAACAACAAACACCAACTGCAACTCCAAGAGTCTTGTTCAAGACAACTGTGCCAGTTTGACCCAGTGTGGGTAACTCCATGCACTCAGTGTGTTCTTTCATGTAATATATCTTGGCTTATACCACTGTGTATAGATTACAGCTTCTCCTGATCTGTGTAAATGGCGGTGTCCCCTCCCCTCCCCTGCTGTCCTCCCTGGGAGACACCCCCACCTCTCTTGCAGTCCCCTGTTTTCAAGTCCAAAGTGTTCTACGTCCCGTCCAGAGTCCCCACTTTGTGTTTTGGTTTCTGTTTGGTTTGGTTTTAAGTTGGGTTGTGGTAAAGATGATGTAAGGGGAGACAGTGCCTAGTGCTAAGGTCCGGTTTGCCTGTCAGTGTGTGCTGGGCTGGTGTTTACCCGGCACCCTGGGGCAGGGGAAGCACTGGGCAATCGCAGGCAAAAGACAGCTCCTTGACCCAAACAGCAAAGTGTGATCTCTAATAGGTGTCTCGTGTACCTGCTGCTCATCAACCCACCTTTAAAAACCCAACTCGGAAGCGCCTCAGAGAGCTGGAGCCTGAGACTACAGCATGGTAGAGCTGAGCATGCAGCTTGGGACGTCACATCAGGTCATTCCTCTGGCTGAGCTGCCAGCGGGGGAGCGAGCAGAGGGGCCGTGGTGTGACCGACAGCACAGGTAGCAGCGTGAGGAGGTACATGGCAAAGCCCCGTGCCGACCTCAGGCAGGCAGCAGCTGCCATCTGCGTGGTTTCTTGCGCGTTAGCAGGCAGCCTTTAGGATCCCATGGCTCGCCAAGGTCATATGGGCAGCGTTTGGGGAATAAAGAGACTTTGTTTTGGATCTAGTATTTCCTAAAATTAGGCTGGGCTTTGCAGGATGCTGTGGCCTCAGCCCAGACTCCCTCAAGGTCAGCTGGACTCTTTCTGTTCATTTCTTTGGGCTTTGGATCAAGCCTTTCCAGCTGATTTTTTTTTCCCACTGAAGGTATGGTCTCTCGGTACATGGGAAGGTAGAAGAAAGGGAGACGTGAGCTGGTTTTAGGGTCAGAGGGGACCTGGGACCCCATGACAATAACACTGGCCTGCTTTATACCAGGGAGCCCCTGTTCAAGGGCACTGGAAGTTCTTCTGTCCCGAGGGGATTTATTACCTTCCTCATATGACAGTAAGAGGGATTTGTGACTCTTCCACACTTTGGAAATGGAAACAAATTCCCAGCCCTCAGGAACAGCCTGGTTTAATTGGTGAGTACCTTGGCTTTAGAGCCAGACCTTGTGAAGGGGAGAAGGCAGGCAGGTGATGAGAGAGGATATCTAGTGCACTGGCTAATGCCCTTCCCCTAACACCAAGAGGTGAGCAGATCTTAATCTGAAAACTTCCGTTACACTACTCTTAGTTGCTGTGCTACTGCCAAAAAAAAAAAAGAAGTCTTACAAAAAAGACCTTACATTTTGTTTTTAAATTTGGTCAGAGGTTAAATGAAGCCAGAGCCACAGAGTGTCTGGAGCTCACCAGCAGCTGCAGCCGACGGAGGTAGGGTTTTGGAGTGGTGATCAGCAAGGGGTTCTGAGAAAGTGGAGGGCGTTCAGTTAAAGAGCCTTAGCTGTACATCTTTAACTGAGCCTGGCTGTATAAATTCAGTGGGTACAGGGCCAGAGAAAGGGGTACGTTCTTCAGGTACTGCCTTTGCAGTATGGTGGGTGAGTTTAACCTGATCTGGCAATTCTTCTTTTGGCTTGTGTCTGTCTTATTTACCTCCAAATCTGGTCTGCTGAATGCACATGGCTTCCCTAAGCAAAAGGTCTTTTGATGCAGCCTGGCCATTCCTATGGTGAGCTTTGTCATCCTCTTTTTCCCCAAGGCTCATAAAATATTCCCAAAGATGCACAGCCTCTGGGAGTACTAGATACTGTCTTCTGATGAACAACAGGCTGCGGTTTAATGTCTACCTCTACCAGTACAGAGATGGTAGTGGGCATGTTGCATTCACAGTGGTTTTCTTGGAACAAGTGCTACAGCCCCAGGTGAAATCCCGGTACCGTAAAGTGCTCTTTGCATGTACTGTGGATGTGTCTCCTTGCAGCAGTATGTCACAGCATGGAGAATTTACTCGATTTGAAGCAGAAGGGGCCATGGGGCCATGGTGGGGTGTTTATGTAATACCACTTCTGTCTAGAGAACTGATTTCCCCTCATCCTGTTTTGCAGAGATTTGGGGGTTATTTCTAGGGGGGGGAGAGGGGAGGGTAAACAACAGGAAAGGTATTTGGGAAGCAGAGATGCGAGAGAATGTAGCTCAGAAGCAGTTCCAGCCCAGTGACTGCAATGGGGCTTTGCAGGAGGACACGGCGAGGCTGTGGCATCTACACTGAGTCTGGGAGTGCTGCAGAGCCCCCAGATGCTGGCTGTGCCATCCTGGGGAGAGACCCCATTGCATACCAGCTCTCCTGCTCGCGCCCTGAACTGTGCGTTCTGGTTCCTCACAAGAGAAATTTGGGTGCCCCAACTGCAGGGCAGTCCTGCTAGGAACCCGATCTCCGTCACTGGGAGACCTGTGCCCACTGGGTATGGAGAAACATGTCCAAACTACTGGGGTTGGGATGTGGTGATGGCTATTCCTGTGCTCCTCTTCCCTCAGATCTATGAAGCACAAAGCTCTTGGATGAAGGGAAATTTTGCTTACGTTGCTCGTGAGGAAGGGAAATTGGTCACTGCTCTGATTCAGGTTTTGCTGAAGTAGGGTGGTGATTTTCAGACAGTAACTTCTCTTTTCAAGTGGGAGGCCTGTCTTCAAGAGATGCTTCTACCTGTCCTGTCTGTTCCCTTCCTCTCAGCCCTGGCATATGATTATTTTTTTTTTTAGCAGCGTGTGACAACATTAGACACAGTACCTATCTATTCTGCCCTGACCAGCATAGATAGATATAGGAGGAGGAAAAAGAAACACCTGCTTCATTTGAGTCTCCTATTTTACTTTCTAAAGTGTGTTTATTTCATTGACAACAGTTTTTGTTTCCTTTGGCAACAGAAGAGGGGAAAAACAGTTCTCAGCTAACATGGGCCTTAACCATTTCTGTCCACCTCCCCCCACCCAGCCCTTAGAGGTCTCAGATGCAAGGCCAGTAATTTCATCCAGAAACACACTACAGAGCTGGTGATGGGGCTGCAGCACTTCATCTGCATCTGTAACCACATGCAAAGCCTCCAGAGGAAGTGGTATGTCCTGTTTGTAAGGGATTTTCCACTTACTGTGATCACTTACCATTGCTGTCTGCTGTCCAGATTCACTACCTGAACCTGTCTCTTTGGCAGTTTGGTTTGGAAAACACCTGTGTGCATGTGTGTATGTGTGTACACCACCCTGCCTTGAAGAATATTCTGCCTATGTATGTATACATACATATATGTTTATATTACTGCAGTCTGGGGAGGAAAAAAACAAGCCAACCTGGAGATGACCCTTCATTTGTTCCCCTGCATTCACACAAAGTGTCCGTGATGTCTTTTTTGTGCCATTTGCATCGTGCCATGCAGCACCTGAATTCCTTTTCGGTTCTGGTTTCTTCTCAGTGCAAAGAATGTATGGCTAGTGAACTGCTGAATGTACGATGTGCCCATTGTGCTAGAAGCTCAAAATTACTGTTCCCCTCCCTGGATAGTCATGTGGGCTACTCGCTTTAAGGCATTTTTAGACTATACTGAACTCTACTGGACTGTGTTGTAGTGCTTTTCGAAGTGTGGGTCTAGTGTTGATTTGAGTCAGGTAGATCAAGCGTAGATGCCATACAAGCTCCTAAGCACGCAGCTGGGGCAATGCACTTCAGTCCCGACTTGCCCATGCCATCCTCTTAGCAAACACCTCCTGTTCTGCCTTAATGTGCCAGGCTGTGCAGTGGTTTCATTCTGAGGAGAAAAAAAAAAAAAAAAAAAAAAAATGTCCAGCGAGAACTAGGCTGAGAAGAGCAAATTCACCTCTCTCAGAATCGAGGCGAGATTGAAACCAAATCTGTTGAAGCAGAAGGCTTAAATGACTGAACTCGCTGTGCTAAATAAATAGTTGTCTTTTCTCGTACTGAGCACATGCCGTTATTTGCTTGATGTTATTCTTTGTGTGATGTCTGTGATATGAAGTCCTAGTGATATCTCCATGGGGAGAATGAACTAACGCTTAAAACTAATCAGATTATGTGCTTGGGATTTGAAGAGATCTAGATTGCTAGTTTACTCTTTTGATAAAGTCTATAAATTATAAATTTGCAAAACTGACTTCAGACATTGTAGCTTATCACTAAAACTATAGGTTTAATTACGATGCCCGATCTCAATCTATTTTGAAGGAGCCATAAGGTTTAGTTGAATGTAAAAATGTCATTACGCTCTCTTGGACAACTTAGTAGAAGGTTTTTGATGCTTCTAGCTTTAAGAAAGATGAAATGGATTACACTTCTGCTTCCTCTTTCTATTGATTTAATACGCCATGGATAAGTTCCATTATTCCTAACAGTTCTGCTGTAGAATGCAAACAAATCTGGAAGCCAAAGGATAATGCAGCAGCATTTTCAGGAGGGTAAGAATTCATTCTTGCAGGTGCTGTTCACCTCTTGGGCTCACATTTAAAGCACTGAACAGTTGCTTGCCCTGAAGCAGTTCTTAGATCCCTCAGAATTAGTGACAAATTAAAAATGGGTTTATGTCTCTGCTGAATCAGAGTTTAGGGGTTGATCCATAGCCTACTGAAAACAAGCGGAATTTTCCCATTTCCTTCACCATGCTCTGCTCAGGCCTTTGATGTCTTATTGGCACCAGGGATATGATTGCAGGTCATCACAAAATCTGAAATCATCTTAAGGGCATGTGTTTTGTTTTATTTAAAAAAAAAAAAAAAAACAAACCTGGAAAAACCACTCCTTAGTCCTGCTGAGTGTAAGGAAAGTCTTCTCCAGTATGAACTGAGGCAGTCATGCTCACAACCACGCTTATACCTACTTTAGTATTTGTGTATAAACGACGACAGTGTAACTAAAGAAACCTAGAGTTGGTGAGAGATGATTTCTGCCTTTAACATTTCCCTTCCTTTCCTGGAAATGCCGCTGGGGTGTAGAAATCAGCATCCTTTTAACTATTCTTAGAATTGGTTGAAAATAACAGTCCTGAAGATTTGATAGAAAAATTATTCTTCAAGAAACAAACCAAGAAAATCAATGAAAAAAATGTATCTGAAAGGTGAAATTCTTGGAATTTCAATCAGTTCTACAGAAAGCTTCAGGTTGGTGCTTCTGAGAGGGTACAAGAAACAGCACAGAGAATTGCAGAGAAAAAAAGCACATCATTATCTCAGCAGTTTTGGTAAGGACACATTAACTTTTATACCCTATCCACTTCTATTTTTTTTTTCCTCGGATAAAAGTAAAAATTACCAACTCTGATGCCATGCAAATTAACCTTCACTAACTGACTTTTCCAAATGCATTTTTTTTTTCTGGCTTTGCTCAGTGTTAAAGGGTTAGTGAAATAAGAAAAGCACCTGAAGTTTTCTACAACCAACTTTGTATGATTAAGGGAAATTGCAAGCTTATGGTTTGGGCATTTTGAAAGGCTGCGCTCTCTTTTTACATGCTTTGCTGTGAAAAGGACTGAAAAATCCAACCAACTCACACTTCCATCCTCTTAGTCTGTGGCATCACGCTGGAGCCAGGACACTGGTTCCCTTCCCAAGCCATGTAGCATCTTACTGGGATCTCGTGCCCTCCACCACAGAGCCGGGAGAAACGGCACAAGGCAGGAAGAGCCGTCTTATGGAGGGGTAGGCAACAGTCACATCATCTTTTTCATGAACTGACCGCAGTTCTGCTTTACAGGTTGGGCACGTCCCTTCATGAAGGGAATTGGCTTTGATCTGGGTAATGAAAATTCTGTATCTAAGTTGGTTAAATTCTCAGCACGGGAGGCTGGAATTGGGATGTTTTCTGCTATTTACACCAGAGGTATTTGGTCTTTGACTCTCTCAGGGAGAAATGTGCTGATTCTGGAGATCTGACCTGGGCTGCCTGTGAATTTTAGGTCTTACGAGCGGCCCTTGATCACCAACTCCACCGCAGAATGCGAAGCAGCCTGTGCAGCGATCTCCCAGGCCAGGGGCTGCGGAACTACCCCCATACTTCAGGATTTGTGCTCTGCAGGTTGTGAAGAAGCCAGGAGAGGGCAATGGGAGCAGCGTCTGCCAAGCACTGTGGGTTAAACACCGCTGCTCTGTTCAGCCCATCATCAGCCCTTAAGCACTGACTGTTTCTGGCCTATTGCTCTTTGTAAAATCTCTCCTGTCCTCATTCAGTTGGAGATTAGTTCTTTCCTGAGGTTCATCTATTTGAAATATTACTCAATCATTAATGAGAAGTTATTTTTTAAGTGGCATTAAGGTCAAAGAGCACAGAATAAGGTGTCTTAGTGTCACGGTGAATGCGTGGCAAAAATAAGAGGGTACTTAATCTGGGTTTATCAAACAGAAGGTAGCTATACAGAAGGTTGATCTCCTTGAGCTAGATTATCTTTAATCGAGCAGCCCAGATGATGACGCAAGGTGCTGCTGAAGGGACTGCAATGTAAAGGGGACATTGGCTTGGAACTTGCCCCACATGCCATTCAGCTGGGCCTGGCTGGGTCTGTCCAACACCATTTTCCTACGTCTTTTGTTGCATCTTGCCATGGTTAGCTCAGATCAGGTTACCTTGACTGACCCTGAGGAGTTTAATCTGTTGAGCAAAGGGATTGTATGGTGACTTTTTCTGCCTTTTTTTTTTTTTTTTGATAATCAGTCCAGCCCTGTGACCTGCTTTCCTCTTTAATGCTCAGATTCCTAGGCTCATGCTATATCTTCAGCTGCTATGAACTCTATGGCTCCATTGTTTTCTGGAGATCTGATTAATTGCTTGTCCTTTATGGCTTTTTTGGCTACTGCACTGTTATTCCTTTTCCCTTTGCAGGGGCCTCTCCACAGCTAGGCAGAAACCCTGCCCCAAGGCTGAGGCAGATTTTGGGTATTCCCACCCAAAAAATCCAGGCAGTGTTCAGCCACTGAGCACCTCAGAAGAACACAGAGACCGTGTGGTGCATCAGGGAATGGAGTTTTCATCTGCCCTAATCACAAAGGCTCAAGGGTCCGAGTCTGCAAGATGCTCTTGTCTGCCACAGGAGCTCAGCAGGTGAGAAGAGCACAGGTGGAAGGTCCCTTTCTTGTCCTTGCTCTTCCATGTCAGTAAGTCACTGTGTGGCCGTAAGATCTGCTCGGGGCTGAAGCCTGTCTGCCAGTCAGGCGTGGGGTATTCTGGCTGCTCAGGAGATGCTGCCACAGCGTGAGCATACGCTACACGTGGCTGAAGCTGGTGCTTCTGCAGTCCCCTAGTTACTGGAGCACTGAAAATACTGGCAGAGAAGAGAGGTGCTCGAGACCTGGTGCTCAGCTGAAGTCAGTGACCCACATTTCTGCTGGCCTTGGAGGCTGTGTTCATGTGCCAGAGGCGTGCTGCAGCTCACCCTCTCATCCTCCTCTAGCTGCAGGGCTGAGGACACACAGGACTGCAAGGATTTTTCCATTGGAATGGGGTGCTCAGGTGTTGCTGCTTGATACAGCAATGCAAGACTGCTGGGCCTTGAAAATTCACCTTGTTCCACTAACCATGCCGCTGAGCTGATGCCCAAAGCCCACAAGCCCTGCGGCACATCGTAGCTGTTGGCTTTCCGAAGGTATGGGTTTGGCTCTACCCTGGGCACTAGCTCTGCGTGCTGCTTCGGACAGTGGGTGCTCTGACATGCAGTACTTGGACTCGTGCTCTGCTGAAAAATATAACTGAAAAAAAAAAAATCTAACTGAAAAATCTAAGCAAAAAAAAATCTAATTTTTTGCTGAAAAATTCTACTTAGGTTAAAGAGGATTTGGACCAACATGTTACTCTTGCTCTTGTTTCTCTCTCAGTTGCTCTCAGCTTGAAATTCACAGACAATTCCATTATTTTTTCATTTCTCATAGCCCCAGTGCAGCATACCAAGAATGAAGTTACAGGTTCTTTCTGTCTGTGCATAACGATGCTCCAGTACCACAGCTCCCAGTGGGAAGAGAGGGATCTTTAATCATCTTTGCAACAGTGAAGACCTGCATTGTATCCCTGGTTTTGCCAGAGCAGCTTCAAGCTGTCAAGTTTCTGGGGCAATTTGGTAACATGATTGCCATACGATTTTGTCATGTTAAAAAAAAAAAAAAAATAAAAAAAAAGAAACAAAAAGCCCAAACAAACCAACAAGTGAATAATTTGGCTTTACTAAGTTTTGAGCAGCCCTTCTTAAGCCTAGTGCCTTTTCCCGAGTCACTGGTTAGGACCGTTTCAACTGAAATCTTTAAAATTGCAATCTCAACTCCCCGGTGAAAACCAACTCTCTTCTAGTGGTAGGTGCAGGTTGTTTACAAATTTGTGGGAAAACTAACATTGTAGAAAGGGAACTCGAAGGTCAGATTACAGGGGATTTTTTTTGTTTGTTTTATTTTGGTTTGCTTGAGTTCTGTTACTTTTCTAGGGACTGATGTAAAGCCCTCGGAATTCAAATGGAAAGCTCAAACACTGGTAGCAGGGAACTGCCTGCTGCTGCCTTGGAAGCACCAGGCATCTTTCCAATGACATCGGTGGGTTCTGAGTCAGCCCCTGAACGTGTTTTCCAAATGACAGTAATTTTTGGAGTGACACCTTGATTTCTTCCCTGTACAAACAGACCTGCTTGTCACTTACACATATTTACCTGTGTTCAACATACAGGTTTGGGTTTTTTTGCTTTCAGAAACAATATGCTGCTAGACACATTTCCTGGAGGGAAATGGACACCTACCTACACACAAAGCTATACAGCTAATTTATACCTTGTTGAATTTATAATCTTGTCTATGCTTCTATGGACACTTTGTATGGGCTGCAGCTCAAATCCTAAAATAGTCAAGAATTTTTCCTTTCCCATATAGTATTCTATTTACTTTGACTTAAAAAAAAAAGCGTATAAATGCAATAATGCAGGTAGACTAGAAATGCTAGATTGAAAATTAAAGTAGTTTAGCTTGTCCCATTGTGACTGACAGTGTTGTACGACACCCAACGCTGTACCCTAACATTTTCCAGGCTTTCTACGTAGCTGAATCTAGTATTAGCTTTGAAAACCCATTGTATGAGTGGTGGGTGGATGGGTTGGAAATGTGTGCTCTCTACACACTGTATGTTACTCACATCAGAAGCTGTATGGCCACTCCATATGCTGTGAAACTGTAAATGATACCCAATACACCTGTAACTCTTACCAGGATTGTGAGAAATAAACTATATATAGAGATATATATACACCCATAGATATATTGTATAATTCCTCATGTGAGCATCTTTGTGTATGTGGGGGTGTGAGTGAAAATGACTGTTCTCCCTCTCACTCCTTACTCATGGCCGTGTTTCCTGCAGGCTTCATATTTGCTAGGATTAGTGATCCCAGAGAGAACTGTATGAAAAAACAGTCTCTGCCCCTTATACACCCCTGCCTGCCTGGGGAAAGCAGACAAAGGAAGGTTATGGTCATTCCCACATAGGGAAGAAGGTATAGAATAATTAAAGACTTAACCAGAGCTGCAGAGGAAACCCCTTCTGATCCCAGTGATCCCCTGTCCTGCAGGCTGGTCTCCAGGCTCTGTTTGCTGTGAGCTCTCTCCTGTCAAATTACGGTGTGCTCTGATTTGCTTGGTTTGGGTTTTAAGTTGGCCCAGGAGCATCTGTCCTCACAAGTAAACCATCCCCTGAGCACCCAGCTGATGGTGGGGGGCCCTGCACATCAGTGCAAGCCAGAGACTCCTGCAGAGGGGAGGAGGGTTTTGGCAGTACATGTCCCCGCGAATGGTTGCTGTCACATTACACCAGCCCCAAACAGGGTCTCTGCAGAAGTCTGAAATGAATCTCTTAAATCTGGGAAGACAAATACTGTAAACTCCTCAGGGTCAGGAAAAAGGGGCAACCTTTAGTCACAAAAGCATTAAGTATCTGAGACTTTTGCTGCAGAAACACAGCTGAGGATTCAAGTTTTAGCTTGTCTTAATATTTGTAAGAGCAGGAGAGCAAATAAATTCTTCTTTTCTGAGTCTGAATCCTGATTCTGAGAAGTTGGGATGGGTGGGATACTGACCCTCCTCACTGCCCCCAGTTAGGGTGTGTGAAACGCGGGGCCAGCTAGGTATGGATGAGCTGGCTGGGCAGAGGTGGCAACCTCTGCTGCAAGAGCACCGCTGCAAAGCGGCTGCAGCTCTTCAGTTCCTCGGCTGGGGAAGCACACCCTCTGCCCGTGAGAGCCCAGCCCAGCTCTTCTTAACAGGAGCGGGTGGGCAGCCGTGACTGGGAAGGCGGCAGGAATAGTGTGGCAGGGATGGTACGGCCACGGGCGATGCTGCAATTTGTGTTTCCCTGTGACTTGGAATCAGTGGAGGTACCTGCACCAACTGTCATCCTCGGCCTGAAATGAAACAGTGCTCGCTTGATAGAGACGAGGGGGAATGGGCTGGGGAATCTCCCTCTCATGTCTCCTTCAAACAAAAATCATCTCTCTCCTCACTGCCAAGGGAGGCAGCGGCACAGACACATTGGTGCATTTGCAGTGCCAACACAGGGAGCAAAGCTAGCATCAGCTCCATGCTTTCAAACATCAGTTTGGATATCTTCCACCCATCCATTCTGTGTTTCATCTACTTCTTTCCCTCCACATATTTACAAAAATTTAAGAAGTATGCAAAGCTATGTTTACAATTATCTTAAACTTTGCATCGCTTTTCCCTTCTCCCTTCTACCCCAGCCACCATTTAGCTACAGAAAATGTGCTTTAAATGAGAAACGCAGCCATTCTGTTTAACCAGACCAGATTTGAAGAGGAAGCACTCAGATGACTTAACATAACCATAACGCCCAGATTCTACCAAAAAGAACAGCCTGTGTGAAGTAAGAAATAATTTATATTGTTCTCGGGATCCTGTTGCAGCACTAGTTAGCATTCATGTTTGTTAACATCCTAACTTAGGCAGAGAGGGGCTGCAAAGTGTATCCAGTGCTTGCTGGAAGAGAATTCAACAGAAGATGGTTTGCAAACCAGTGCTCTGGTAACATGGAGGCATTGGCATCTACTGAGCAGCGGAGGATCAAGTATTAAGACATCGCTGTACAATTTAATCTCCCAGCAACTGGGGCCCTCTCACATGCATTTTTTCTATGTCTTCACCTTAAATCATTGTCAAGTCCTCTAATGCTTTGTGTTTTGGGCAGTCTAGGGAGGATGAGAAGAGCTGATGGAGCGGAATTCGAGACAGCAGTTTTCTCTCTGCTCTTGGATTTAGAAGAAAAGCACTGGATTCACAAGCAAGGGATAAGGAGCATAAACACAATGCTCTGTGCCATAAAGGCTTAGGCTGCTGGAGTAGCACTAAGTCCTCTGCACAGGAGCTAAACTGAATAGTAAAAGATATGCTTTGGGTTTGTTTTGTTTTTTTCAATAATTTTCTGGTAGCTAGGCTGGAGCAAAGAGAGAGGAACATCCAGGTATCGCCGTGGTTAACCAGCCTAAGGTTTCAGAACAATCTTTTGGAGAGAAAAGGAGACTGACAGACAGATGATTGAAGAGACTGACAAGCAGACATCCTGATGGCATAAGCTACATTTCCTTTAGGAAACCAGGATAGAAATTAGATTCTTTCACAATAAATAAACTAATGGCAGAATTGTACTGTCTTCATTTTATATATACCATTTCATAATGGCATTGCCTGTTTGTAATACCTAGCAACCATCAAGAGATAAACCTACTAAATTAACACAGAGATGAAAAATGCAAATCCAGAAACTGAACAAGGTTTAAAAAAATTGCTTTTCCTCCAGTGAGCCACAGAGCTGAAAGCAATGACACCTGCAATAAATGAACATTTTTTCTTGAAGAATAATGGCTCATTAAAGATTGAGAGCATATGCAAACAAGGCAGCCTGGACCAGATATGAGGGATGGGAAGGACAGCTTCAGAAAGGTTTGGATGACTTTATTTCATTTGTAATTCTGATGCTTATTCCTGTGGCTCCAGGAAATCACCCTGTTCTTAATCCATGTTTTTCACGCATCATTTTTTTTAATCAAACCACTCAGATCCATGTTCATCTCATACCATCCCATATAACATAATTAGCTGTGGCTTCTTCAGGGATATGAAAGAGCATAACATCTGCCCCTCCATTACATCCCTGAGGTTATTCATCCTGAGGGTGAGAGGTATCAAGAGCAAAACCTGAGAGATAATTTAAAATCATTTAAAAACAACTTAGGCTAGTAATTTAAAAACAGCTTGGGCTTGTCAAAGGGAGTTTTGTTCCTCCTTATCTCATGTCAGAAACACATCACTGACACAATAAACCATGATTTGTGGTGGCTTGGGCTCGCTTCTGGTGTTGGGTCGGCTGAGGAGGGACTTTGTGTAGTTGGAACAAGGAAGTTTGAAACCCAGCACCACAGCTGGATGCGGCCTCTCAGCTGGGCGTTCAAAATTAGCTGACATTTTGACACTAATGCCTGCTTTTTCATTTCCAATCCACAACACTGTCACCAACTTCCCCTTCTCTGAGGTGAAGTGGTGCCTGTGTTTCAGTCCTGCTGGGTATCTACATCAATTTGAAGAAGAAAAAAAAAAATAACAGTAATAAAAAAAATCAAAACCCAGTATAAAAGTTGATGAGGAAAACAGCTATATTGCTAAAGCAGAGCTTGAGAAGAGCCACTAAGACCACCACCACACTAGCTGTGAAGGGGGAAATAAATCACGGCGGCGGCTGCTGCAGGGTAGCGGTGGGGAAGCAGGTGAGACGGGCCACTGCATGATCCGCCGCGGTGCCTCCCAGAGAAGTTAAAAAGCACCGCGGCCCCCCGGCTCCCTCACGGCCGCCGCTTCCCGCCATTGCTCTCCCAGCTCCCCCTCAGCCGCCGCCACCGCGCGCTTCGCCCAACGGCCGCCGCTGCGGGCGGCGCGCGCGTCCCCGCTCCCGGTCTCCCGCACTGCGCATGCGCAGCTCGGCCGCATGAGGCGGCGGCCGCCCCCCGCCCCGCCGGGCCCCGCCATGTCGGAGCGGCTCGGTAAGCCCTCCTGCCTCATCGTCGCCAGCGCCGCCGCCGCGGGTGAGACGCTCTGGGGGTGTGTGTGAGGTGGGGAGATGGGAGGGGGTGGGGGGGTCCCGCCGGGTCTCGCTTCTCCCTTGGGCGCATCTGGCTTCTCCCGGCTGTGCGCTCTCCTCCGGCCTGTGGGTCTCGTGTGTCCCCCCCGTCCCCCCCCCCCCCCCCCCCCTTCGGGGTACACCGCCCGCGTTGCGTGGCCGCTCCCCTGCGTGCGGGGCCCTTTCCACGCTCGTGGGTGGGGGTGTCCGGCGCTTTGCACGCGTGGCCGTGCTGCGCTCGTGTCCTGTCACGCGTGTGCCTGCTCCATGGCTTGTGCAGCGGGCACGCTCTGCCTTGCCCCTGGGCACAGGCTGCTCCTGCTTGTGCGCCCGTGTTGTGCACAGACGCGCCCGCTTTTCCTAAATGCCCCCCCCCCCCCCGCCACGCGTGGGTGCGTGTCATCCCGGGCAGGTGCTGGTGAATACCTGCTGCCTTTCTCCTTTGCACATAGCAGCTGAGCCGCGCTTCCAGTATGCCTGGAGGAATCACTCCTGCCTGCTCTCCCTCTGCCCTCCCTGTAGCCCCCTAACCCATGCAAACAGAATACCTACTCAATACACAGCTCGTGAAGGCTGTGCGTTTCTTCCATCTTAAAATAACCCTCTGAAATTATTGAGAGCTTTTAAGACAAAAAAACAAGCTCATGTACTTTATTAGATAAAATGAGCTGGTGTAGCTGAAGTTAAAATATAACTGTTCTTTCCTTAAGTTGTTGCACTCTGTTTTTTTTTTTCAGGTGTGTCAGCCCAGTCCTTCCTTCACTGCTTTACACTGACTAGTTCTGCTTTTAACCTGCAAGTTGCAACTCCTGGGGTAAGTAAAAATAGGCAGTTACTGTGATTTCAGTCTGAAACCAATGGATATCTCTGTTGACAAGAGAGAATTATACTAAGCTTTTTTTTTGAGAGATGTTTTATTGGTTTTACAGATTAAGGGACTATTTTTTTTTAGTTCTATTTTTTTAATATTGAAGAGAATGCATGCTTCCTGTAGTATGGTTCTGAACTTCTTTGTCCAGTATCTTAGCTGCAAATAGCAGAGGGAGAACTATGAGAAGTACTTCAGTGGGAAAAATTGAAAACTTCAGGTTTGTGAGAGCTGAAGTATCCCAAAATCCCACATGGTTATGCTTCAAGAATTGTAGTGCTTGTCTGTGCAGTGATACCAACCACAGCCTTCGAACCATGTTTCCCTTAGGGCAAGGCCATTGATTTTGTGGATGTGAACGAGAGCAACATGCGCTGGATACAGGACTTCCGTATGAAATCGTACGCAAACCCTGCCAAGTTGGAGTCAATTGATGGTAAGGGCTTTATTGTTGGCCAGGGTGTCAGGTCCATTTATCAGAAAGATAGATGCTTCTTAGTGTTAGGTCTTTAGTGAAGAACAACACAGAAAGTGTAAAAGTGTTTTAAGAGGAAGACATGGCAGCTACGGTTGCTGTTTTTTTAATTTAAGAGGAAGTCCTGGCAACTACAGTTTTTATTTTCCTACTTACCTTGGATTGGAAATTCTCTCATATATATATATTTATATTTACTTCCGTGTGTGTGAATATACATACACACGTTATACATTGTTAATATTTTTCAATAAATATTTTGCTAAAGTAGAAGCTAGCAGACATAGTGGTTTTAAATTTTGCCTGGATAAGAATGTCTCATTGAAATTGTATGTTCTTTGTCCTAAAACGGGCCTTATCTCTAATCTACACAGTTCTGTTAGTTTCTTTAGCTCATTCAGTTTATACAGGTTTTGACTGACTTGTGGCATTGTCTTAATGTTGTCAAATCTGAAGTTCAGGCTTTTTGTTTGCTACTTGTATTACAACTAGTTTATCCTTTCCTCTTTACTAGGTGCTAGATACCATGCATTGGTGATTCCAAACTGTCCTGGGGCTATGACTGACCTTGCAAACAGTGGGTACCTGGCTAAGATATTGCAGCACTTCAGCACTGAGAACAGTAGGTGAACATTATTAGATATTTTGTTAAATAAAATAGTACTACTGTACTGTTCATGTAAGACCTTCCAATGTCTTAAAAATGTTTACATAGTTGAAGAGTGTTCAGGAGTGGGAAGAGTTGCTTTAAAGAAATGTACCTTCTTTGAAAAGGTAGCCTCTTTATGTAAACATGTATAAAAAAAATATTGGCAGCATTCTAGTGCTTGTGTTGGAAGAGGGTGCTCTGCCTTACAGAGATACAGACTGTCTTCAGGTCAGTAGGATTCAAAGTTCAGAGCCAAATGTGGAATGTATCAACATCGTCATTAAGGCTGTAGTTAATCAAGACTTGCGCGTGCTTCTCGTTTACGATAGTTGTTTGGCTGGTGCTGTCTCTGGGCTTGGAGTTAACAGCTAGTAACTTTTTGCAGGACTGGGGCAATTCTCATTGTAGTGTGCAGGAAAAACCTTCCAGCCTAAGAGAGTATAAACAGTGCGGTATATTTTTATAGCAAGAAGGCAACATGCTGTAATGTGAAGAATCTCACTAACTCATCTGTGTTTTGGCTATTTGAAGATTATCACAACTGCTCAAAGATGCTTTGTGTTTTCTCTAGAGCCTATCTGTGCAATAGGACATGGAGTTGCAGCTTTGTGTTGTGCCACCAATGAGGATAAATCCTGGGTGTTTCAGGGATACAGCCTGACAGGGGTAGGTTGAAATTTCACCTGACTTTTGCTGTTTGGGGGCTTTTTTGCTGTGAAATCATCTGTGATTTCAGGTGATGGTGCTGGTTGTTTCTGGTCTTATCCTACAAATCTAAATCATCAGTTTGGTGCCTTTAGTTTATGTGCAAGATATGGAGAGATGTCATTGACAGGGTGGCCCAACACTGAGCACACAAAGGAATTGTCTCGCCTAACTGTCACCTGGAGAGTGTTTTCCCTCTGTTCAGTAAACTTTAAACTGAATCAATAAAATGCTGAGTGACTGTTACAGCTCTTTGGATTCATAGTTGAAGGCTTTTAAGAATTACTTTTTTTTGGTTTCATGTATGCTGGAGGTGTTATTTCTCAAGGTGCTCCTTAATTTTAAAAGGTAGAGGGAAGTTTTCGGAAAAAGGCTGTTTGTGCAAACTGGCTTGTAATTCAAAAACTAGCCAGATACTGTTGGTGTTTTATTTAATGTACAGTCATATCTCTGACCTTGCAGACCATTTATATGGCATTTGTACCTGTATGCCAAGATGATGCAAACCTCTACAGTACAACTTCTAGGGTTGAAAATTTACATGCAGACTTAAGAAAATAAGTTCCTGGGATTCACAACAGCTATCAGTGTCCCAGTGTGCTTGTATTTGGCATTACAATCCATGAGAAAGTATTTTATATAAGGCATGATGTGGCCTAGCTATGGTTGCTATGGAAACGATAAAATTCAATTTCCTCCTGTGCATATAAAAACTGAACTAAGTAGTCTTAATTTTTATCTCTTCATTTAAGCTGTTTACCGTATTCATTCAAAAGCAGAGTACTGCTGTTTGAACTCTTTAAGTGCCGCAGTGTTTGTGTCCAACAGCCACACAAGTGTGTACTTTCACGAAGTTAATTGCACACACACTGTTCAGTGTCCAGTTGATGTGCAGAAATTGCTTGGTGGTGTTCTTTCTTTGTCTTATTTAAGAATTTCCAGTTTGCTCCCTACAGAAAATCCATAGAAGCTGCTTGTGGTCATTTGGTTTTATGATTCTTTTCTGGCTTACTTCCTGTATCTACTTGGGAAAATTGTAGGGGGAGCAGAAAAATAAATTGCAGGGGGAAGTACGTGTTGGTTTTGCTTGACTTTTTTTTTATAAAAAGCAAGACAGACTTACTTCCTCTTGATCTTTTTCAGCCCTCTGTGTACGAACTAGTAAGGCAGCCCAATTTTGCCAGTTTGTCCATTATTGTGGAAGATTTCGTGAAAGATTCTGGAGCTACGTTTAGTGGTATGTCACTCTCTTGTTGTCCAGGACTTCACGTTTCGTGGCTGCGTTTTGGAAATCAGTATTTGTGTGCCAGTTCTACACAGCTGAACAGGCCTCTGCCAGGATATCTCATCTTGCATTCCCATTGAGTGGATATAAACAAATACCCTAATGGATTAGAAATGAATAAATGCCACAAAATACTGCGTGTGGAGAAGTAGGGCAGTACAGTACAGCATGCTGGTCTCTAGTTGTCCAGGAAGACTCTTACCCCACGGTAAAGATGAGGTCCCTTGACCTGCTGTGAAGGAAGAACATGTGCTGCAGGGAAGGGTGTGTGCTAGAGAGTTGCCATGGTCCTGCAGAGACACCATCCATACCTGCAGGGGAATGTCTGCAAGTGCTTCGTTATTTAAAGCTGGAGGCACTATACTAAATGTTTCTGGTTGCTCTGATTGTCTTTTGCCATCAAGTATTTTACTTGTAGCTAGATCTGTTTTTGTAGTATTTTCTTGTTCTGTTACTCGTAATCTCGTTTATTATTAGTCAAAATTTAGAAGTTTGAACTGCAGAATCCAGACTTCTGTCCTGTGAGAGAAATTAAATCCATTAAAGCACATAAATGTCACTTATTTCTTAGGGTATTTCTGGATGTGCAGGGAAAAGCATTGTTTTTCTTTACAAGCTGCATTCTTTCATAATGAGCTGTAAACGGCCCTATTCTTCAGTCGCAGCTGTCCTTCCCTTTCCTATTTTGTTAGGTAGTTTTTCAGAGTCTGTCCTTAATGAGAATAATGAGATGCCTGTGGTATTTAAGTCATTCTTTATTTAGCATACCAGTGCCACCCATTGAATTGATACAATTTGAGGTGGCTAGATTAGACTGTGCACATGGCATGGATGGGAAACAGAGCCAGGCTCCTAATGCTGTGCATCTGTTTTTCACTAAAAAGAAATGCCACTGTCTTACCAAATTGCTGTATATTCTGTGCTTAATCCTCTTCCCTCCATGATGCTGTCAGCTTCTTTGTGTGTTTAAATGGCATCTTTATGCTTTTTTAATGTGCTGCTCCCGCCACCTTCTGTATAATGGGTTTAGTACTGACAGTTTAAAAGCTGGTGTCTCAGTGGTACCTGTTATGTCATATATACTTGGTGGCAAATTAAGCAAGAAGAAAAGCATGTGGGGTTTGAAGGCACTTAGCCTGTGTTTAGACAGTCAGTGGCTGGGAGAGGGAGTAGAAAGCAAGCAAGAGTTGGTTGTTACTGACAAAATAATGGTTCTGTCTGGAATGAGGCAATTTAAAAATACTAGTTGGAGCATTCAATGATTGCTGGTAGATATTAACATGTTGGGATATTATAATTGGCCAGAAAATAAGTATCTTTCTGCAGGCTCTTTGTACCATGGTGATTACAACTTTGATGTCTTACTTTAAAAGAATTTATATTGTATTGCATAGTAATTACAGCTTTACATACTTTGAGGCTTTTATTATGAAAATCTCTTGATGTCTGCACTTGATCCATCTGGTGTTAATTGAATCAAGGGACCAGTCCTGCTGTCCTTTCAGAGAAGGACTTATTAGTGAAACTGTTTCAGGATTAAGGGCTTGAGATTGTCCTTGTCTGTTGGGGTTATAGATCAGCATGTCAGTCACCCAGCAAACCTATCTGGTCAAAATAGTGATTTTTTTTTTTTTTTTTTTTTCTTTTTTATTGTGTTAGTTCCGTCAGAGATGTAATACTGACACTGAAGTAGTGTCCACTAACCCAATACTTGTTGCTTTTTCTCCTGTTTTTAGCCAGCAGTCCAGATGCTGCACATGTTGTGCTGGACAGGCACCTGGTGACAGGACAGAACGAGAATTCCACTCTTCCTGCAGTCCAGAATCTTCTTATTCTTTGCAATGTCAGGTGAGGCAATACGGGAGGTAAGAACTAGGAACAGACAGTGGTGAGCATCTTGTAGTTTCAGGAATATTGTCCCCCAAGAGAACTTTTTTTCCCTTGATTAACTGCTGAGGTGCATCATTTTTGTTTGATGTAGCTATTCAATTGGTTATGTCTTTTGGTAAAAAGCATTTGTGATTATTAAAAAAAAAAAATCAGGTAAAATGGGTTGGGAAATGCACAGCTATCTATCAGGACTGTTAAAGTGAAATGCAGAAGAGGCTCCACTAAACATTTCTGTTAAGGGAAACATCTCTTGTGTCACTCTGACTTTGGCAAGTTAGCATTTAGTCAGTTACATTTTAGGATTCTGGGAATGAATGGATTTAATTTCTTTGGTAATGGCCTGGCTGTTTGACTGTCTTTCATCCTGTCAGATAGAGGAACACCTATAAATAACCACAAAAATCTTCTTTTGTTCAGGTGAATGTGTGTTAGAAGTCCTTTCCTGGCTGTGGACTAACAGGTCGTGTCATGTTTGGATGTGTTTCATTCAGCAGGAAATGAAGGAGCAGGTCTCTTTGCAGATAGGATGGATGAAGAGCCAGCAGGCTAAGGATTTTCTTGTCTGTTAACTGGATAAAACATCCCTCTAAATTTCTGTCCTGGATTACGAAGTCTGTGACAGTGAAGTGGCAATGTCAGGTTTTGCATATATAGAATGGATGACGGTTGTGAATAAGAAAACTTTGAAGTGCATCACTCTTCACAAGCAATTATGAAACCACCTTGTGTTTTTGTTGCTACATCTTTTTTCACTGCTTCTCTGTGGATCATTAATTTACAGATGCGGAAACTCTCGTGCTTAAAAAAAAAAAAAATAGTTGGTGCTATGAATACAAATTGCCGAAGCTGAGGACCCTGTTCTAGGCTGACATTATGCTGATAGTTAGTAACTCTGCCCCAAAGAGCACTTGGAACTCTGAATAATCTGGTGTTTACATTTCAGACATCAAAATCTACACCTAGAGCTTCATGGAAATGTAATTTCAGATGTGTTCTCTCTCGCCTTTCTTTTAGTAGGTCACAAAGTTACTGTTTGAACTCTGAATGTGTCTGGGACACTTGGATATACTTGAAATAGGATGGGAAATGCTTAGCTAAACTGAATAAAGCAGAACCAGTTGTTTGAAGGCAGCTCACTGTGGTGATTCTGTTAGCATAATGTGCCCTTGTTTTCTTCCTTGGCTGTTCACATTATTGGACTTCTGTTTAAAAAGTTTGCTCAGCTGTTTTTAAATGTTCTTCTAACTCGTTGTCTGTTCTCCTTTGTGGTGCTTATGTTATGATTTTTGTTCTCTTTGAAATGTACTTGCCAGAGAGAAATATTTCAAACATTGCAGTTGTTTCTTGCTGGAATTTTATGGACAAAGGAAGAAAAATATGTAGGCAACTAATGTGGATCACAGCTTCTGAGGAACCAACTGTAAGATGAAATCTGGCCTTCTTTTTCCTTCTGAGCAGATGTGGCTTTAAGTTGAGCATGGAAAGGAATAATCAGAGAATATTTTTTGCTGTTGCAGGCTCAAACATACTAAATTATGGGAAAGTAGACAGATTAACATTTTTCCTTCCATTTTGGAACTGAGGGCAACATTTCTGCAGTGTTCTGAGGGAAAGGACCTTTTTGGTTGCATTTTTTTTTTCTTAACAGGACAATATGATATATTGGTTATGACCAGTCATTGAGTAGGGTAATTTATTGTCTTTTCTGTAGAAATTCAATCCTTTAGTTCTGTCGCAAGAATTCAATGTGATTTTTTTTAAAAGATAATCTGCTATGGGATTTGTTGGGTCTTCTACTGTTGCATTTTGGAGCTCATTTTACGGATTTTTGGCTTGGATTAAAAATTAAAATTAGGATTTAAAATGAAAATTGGGCTTTGATAGAAATTAAAGTACCAAATAGCTTTGATATCTTAAATCCTCATTACTGAAAAGTTGTTGTAGGGATTTGTTGACCTCTGTCGCCATCAGGGCACATTTTCCATTTGGATTTCTAGTGGACTGTCTGCTGAAATGTCGTGAAAAAGTTCTTGTGTTTATACTGCAGTAGTATTTGGAGTTGGGGTCATTTTGTGTTGAACATTGTGCACCTACAGCAAGGAGACGTTCTCTGCCACCAAAGTCTTTAAGCTTCATGCCCTGAACTCCACTGACTGCCTGAGCAGGGAACTTCATGGGGCTGGAGTCAGGGTCTCCAGGGGTCCTGGAAGAGGTGGGTGCGACTGATGTGGCTTCTGAGGTGAGGGAGCTTTGCCACACCTGATCTGCAGCTGCAAAGCAAAGTCTTGTTTCTGAAGTAAGAGTCTGAGAGGCTACAAGTCTGGATTACCTTTGAGACTGTGCTTCCATGTGATTCTGTCAAAATCACTAGACCTTTCATTGCCTGCCTGTAAAAATAGAATATTGCTGCCTACCCTGTGTCCTGTTTTCATTCCTTAATTGTAGAGTTCTATCCAGGCTCATCAATAAGCTGCTGGGTAAACAAACAGTATTCAAACCACTACGGGCTTTGATCAATTCTCTGTTGTACTATTTTACTAATTTTGTGACAGCCAGGACCTGTTGGAACGGCTTTGTGCGTGATTCAGGAGGTACACTGATGTACAAAATACACTGCCTTTAGATTTTTTGGTAACACTTCCTTGTTCTTCCCGTATGGGAGCAGATAAAGAGGAGTTACTGTGTGTATCTTAATTTTTTCACATTGCATATCCATTTTGATCTCCTCAGTAATCTAAACTGTACCCAGTCTTGAAGCTGCTCTTGTAACATAGAGGGAGAATTGCACGATCCAGCAGAAAGTGATTGGAGAGGTGATGTGTGCAAGTGTGCATGCCTGCAGCTTTCTGATGAGGAAAGAAGGATGTGGGCTGCATGGATGTGGCTTAACTTCTAGCAACAAAGCAAAATGACTCTGGTAAAAGCAAAATGACTGGTAAAACAACCCCCTCGTGGATGGGGGGGCTAGCGTTGTGCCATCTTTAGAAATGACACTGGCAAATTGTGAACAATTAGTGACGATAGGTCTTCTAAGTTCTCATACAGTATGACCAGTTTTAGCCAAGGATTGGAAAAAAATATTCTAAAACAGTGGGAAAAGATCAAATTAAAGTAGAAAATACATGAAGCTGTTTAATGTCATGCCAAATACATTCAGGAGAGTTTTATTCTGTTTATTTGGGGTTGGGGGGTGTTATGTTAGTTACGTTACAATGTAAAGGAAATATTAATAATTTTTGCTCATTATCATTTGACTTCTTTACCATATGCATACAGAATGAATTGCACTTTTAGTCTGTCTCATCAAGAACGATATATAGAGAGTTGATGACCTTCATGATAAGTTTTCATTTAGTTCTTCATTCAGGAAAAGCTTTCAATGCAGCAGTAGACCTCTTGACTCCACAAAAATTGTCAACAGTTCATCAGGCTATTTTTAACTTATTTTGAAACTAGTTAAAAGCAGCAGGGTTGAAGTACAGACTTCAAAGGCAACAGCGTATCTATAGCTTGGGATATTGTAGCCTATTTCTCCACTTTAGTTCTATGCTAATTTTGTTCTACAAAAGTAACCCTTGATATTTTTTGTTGGTTTTTGTATCTTTTGCTTAAAAGGTATTTCCATCAACTAAGATAATGAAGTGACATTACAGAAACAGTAATGATTTTTGGATGAGTCTGGTATTTTAAACTTCCTGTGTGAAGAATTTGAATACCTCAGTTTGTATCTTCCATACCTTGTGTGCTGTGCTTCCTTCCTGGTCAAACTGAGAAGAGACGGGTGAAGTATCACATCCCAGGCACCTGAGCAATGATACTTATCCCGAGCCTGTTTCCAAGCACTTGACTTAAACTGTGATGCCTTAAAATGTCATGTATTCTCCTCTCCCTGGTTGTAAGAACACAACATGCTCAAACTGCTCAGCAGCCCAATTTTAAATACTTTTCTTACCCAATTATGCATAATCAGGCTGTGATAAATAACAACAGCTGGGGGTTTTGGGGGGCATTAGCGTAGATGAGAAACGTTGTTTCTTACTGCCTTGTGCCTGTGGACCTTTATCAGTGTCTTAGTTTGTGATATAGTTTGTCTCTGCTTCACCATCATGTGTGCTAATCTTTAGTTTAAGGTTAATTTGAATGTAGAGATGACACATGTTTATGATACATCTAGAGATGTGGGTTAGAAATCACGTATAACTGGCTTGAACTGGTGAGAAACAGGTTAGAAGCAGTATCGGGAGTCTCAAAACATGCCAGCTCTTGACATGCTCATTTAGCATGTGTTCTGCAGTGTGATGGTTTGCCCATCTACCTGGCTTGAGTGTAGCAATTTAAGCACTGCAGGGAGGACAAGCATTTGGCAATGCTTGCAAATGCTTGGTGTTTCAATGTTTTTGTGGTCAGTTGTTTGTAGAGGATTCTGGCATTTAAACCCCATGACAGGCCCCTTTGTCCCAAAGCCAGAAACTGCTTCTCAAACAGATTGAATGCTTCAAATTCTGGAGATTTTCAACCCACACAAATCCTGATTGTTTCACTGTTGTCCTCTGGAGCGCTTGGTGTTTTGGTCCTAGAGGTGTTATCAGCCAGGCTTATTTCCTTAGAAATATCCCTGTTCCTGGTAACATCCAGCTGCTGATTTTTTTTAAATTTAGGTAACTACACATACACACACAGAGTGTTACACCTTGTCTGGGCTTAATGCATGGGAACATATTCTGCCCATAAGAACACCAGAGGAAAACCGACATTGAAGTATCTGCTAGAAGCACCAGGGTGCCTCTGCAGTACATGGAACAGAAACATTTGAGATGAATCCAAAGAGACAAGGGGCTTTCTCAGATGATTTATCTCTAGGATAAACTTTACAGTAGTTGGCTCACAGCTATAAAGAAACACTTCTGTATTGCATCCCCACAAAGGATTTCTTCACCAATAAGACAACACATATCACTGTGCATCCCAGGACCACACTTGCCACTGAAGCTGTGTGGTTGGTCCCTGCAGGGAAGAAAGGAAAAGTAAAGAACATCTTTAAGGTAATGGGAAACTTTACTAGCAGTTTAACACATTGAGTTGTGAAGAGGGATGCTCAAAACACTTAAACAAAAAACATTTGCGAACTGATGGAGCAGTTGGAGTGAGCCCCAAGACCTGCTTTGGCTACCAGCTCAGTTTTGTTACTTTTTACATTTTAACTCAATGTAATTGTTGGGTGCAACATTTACAGGGAAAAAGAAATTGAGTGACCTGAAAGGTGATGAGGAGTGGTCAAATTCCCGATAGCTTGGGCTTTGGTCGTGAGTCTTTTGTGCTACCCCACTTCTTCTATGTCTTGATACTGTAGCTACAGTCAGTGGAGGTAGTGTAGATCCTCTGAATGCAGACCAGGTGTCAGACAGCTTGGGTTGACTCCGCTTTTCTGATGAGGGAAGTGGTGTCTCTTCAGAACACATAACAAAGCATTTGCTTGTTTTAAGGGATCCCTTACAGGATGTTTGAACTCAGTCCTTGTTGCTGCCTGCAGTAAATGGCTGTTAGTCATACTAGCATTCCATTAGTGTATTAATGTTTAAGTAAGATTATTTTCCTGGAGCTTCCACAGTATAATCTTTTAAAAAATAAAAAAATGGAACCTTCTGCTTTATTCATCTTGGGTGATGAGCTCTGCCATTTGATTCTGAGTATCGGAGTGCTTTTCTATTTCAACTGACTTCGGATCCATTGCTGGTGGAACAGCCCTTTTGGCTTCATACAGAGTCATCCATGTTCCTCAGTGTGGACTGTCAGCATGGAGCTCCCTTGCAGGCTGTTGCAGCCACAGCAGTAACCATTAACTGAGAATCACTGGGCTTTGCTTGTGTGCTTGCCCTAAACAACAGCAGTGAGCCAAACGGGGTAATCCTAGTAGGACTGAGTCCCACAGCTCTAAGAAATTACCTGGCTGCTGTACCTGTCATACCACTGTCCCAGAAGGCTTCACCCAGTGTATTGAGTCCTCCATAGGGCTAGAGCATTCTCTGAAGGAAAATGTTTAACATTAGCAAGAGAGAAAAGGAGCCTTTTGGAAAATGCAGACTTCTAGGTCTGTAGGGCATTTAATTTCAGCTGGAGGGTCAGTGTGTTCCCTCCATTCCCCTGGCTGCAGTCTCCATGCTGGCCCTTAGGATGCAGAAGACGGTGTCAAAAGTGGACCTGTCGTCCTATTGGGACCAGGCAGCCAGGAGCACTGGGTCACTACTTTTTCCCCTGTAATGCTAATGCATTAAAACAAGTACCAGAATAAATGGAAATAATTCTTTAATCCTGATTCACTTTATGATTTCAAATAGTACCTTGTCAGATATTGTATGGCTTGTTTAATGTAGTCTGTAATAGCCTGTGATGGCTATATGTGATAGTCCTTATAAATGAGTCTTTAAGGTTTATTTTTAAAGTGAAATTACATGTTGGGGGGCTGAAAATAAAGGAATGTACTTCCTAGGTCAGTTTTGTGGACCTTAGGGGCTGTTTTCACAACATCTCTCCTCTTGCACCCTTGTTTCAAGAACAGAGGAGGTACTGAGAGCAATTGTTGGGAGCAGCAGCGTGTCTCCCTCATCAGATTGGGTTGTGGAATGCAAGAGGGAGCTGAAAGAGGATGGAAAAGCTTTTCCAACTACCACATGCACACGCACCCCAATATGCTTTGTGTGTTTGCATAGAGCTGGATCTTGAAACGGGAGAGCTGCCATCATGAGGGGAGGTTGATAACTTTGCATTTCTGCTCATTGGTTAGTTGCTGCTCTGTGAATCTTAGAAAGGAAGAGGTGCTGTGGGATGGTGCAGCCTCCCCACGAGGTGGTAGTACTACTCCCTGCAGACCTTCAGGCTCCTCAGCGACCGACAGACCCCATCCCCAAACACCGAGTGCGAAGGTGTCGCTTCCCTCTTGTGTGTTCCTGGTGAAGTAGGGGCTGCTCTGTCTGTACCTGGGCCGGGCACACAGGCTGCAGCTGAAAGAGGGAAAAACCTGAGACCCCACCCAGGGCTACAGTAGCACAAAATGCATGTTAACACAGGGGGATAGGCACTTAGCTGTGCTGTACACACCAAGCCATTCCTGTGGCTTCCCAGTAATCTGTGATCATGGGGTCTGCTCTCCCATGCTGTTTCTTTTCTTAGTAGGATGAGGGCAGCATAGTTAGAAATCTTGTTATCAGCGCCTCAATCCTTTGTCATCTCCTAAAACATCATGTGCTAACGCTACCCTACATGCTTTCCTTAGAAATTGTCCTTCCTCAGCATCAACTAAGCCCTCTTTTTCCCCCAGGGTTTCCATTTTGCAGTTTTTCTTTGTGTACAGCCAAGGTCCAATGCTGAATTGGAGCAGACTCTGTTAAGTTGTTTATTTCTAACCTTGAACAATGG